TGGGTTGATGGTTTGTGAGGCAGGGTCTTACACTACAGACTGGGTTGATGGTTTGTGAGGCAGGGTCTTACACTACAGACTGGGTTGGCCTGGAACCCTATAGCTGAGATAACTCCAAAGCCCTGATCTTCCTGCCTCAGCCTCCTGAGTGGCAGGATTACAGGTCTGTAGCGCCATGCCAGTTACCTTAATGTTTTGTAGTATGTATCATTAAAGCAAAATGTCACACACAGAGACCTGTGCTGCCTTTACTTCTGCAGATCTAAGTAGCCCAGGTACCACACAAGTAACAACCATGTCAACTCCAACTGACTAGAGCTCACTCGACCCAAACACTATTCCATAATTTTTTCATTTATAATCTAGGGCAACTACATGACAAACAGAGAATGAAATCAGAAAATTAGCTAACCGCACCGAGGTTATATAGCAAAGAACACAAAAGCTAGGGTGAGACTGCAAGTTGAATTAGCAGTGAGCACACTTCCTTCGAATCACATAATAAACCATCTGAAAGCAAACGTTTCCCATACCTGTGTGTATCCTTATATGTCGCGTTAACTGACTGGGCTTCTGAAATGTCTTTCCACAGTGTGGACAGGAGTATGTGAAGCCGCTTCTGTCAATGTTCCGATTGTAAGTTCTTGTACCTGATGCCCTGGTACGATATGGGAAAACACTGAGTCATTCTCCTTCCATCACGTTTCTAGGTGAAAGACTGCCGCAGAGTTTAGCTGGAGGGTCATCACAATATGCTTTACTGATAAGTCAAACATCTGTCTGCCCAGCATACAAACACAAAAGTACACATCTATGAGTTGAGTGGTATAAATTCATTTTGCCCATTTCTGGTGAAAATAGAAGCTTGGTTTGCTCACAGTGATTGGGAAGCAAAGGCAGAAGGAATCTTGTAAAGCATGGTTTGTTGGTTTAGTCATGGAGGCCCATGCAGAAACAAGTTCTACATCGACATGCTCTCCTACAGCTTTCTGTGCTCAACAGAACCCGCATGCTGACAAATGTCTACCTCTCACCACATAGCTAGACAACTGACTCTTTACTTGACCTCCCTGGAAACTGACTGACTGGCAACAACAGCCGAACATCAGAAAGAACTCTAGACCCCTGCCTCAGCCTCCAAGGAGTTACATCATCACCTGCCACCAGATACCTTCCCACCGTCAGTGATGACATGCACACCCCTTAAAAGTGCCTGACCATCACAGTCCCCTGTCTTGCTCCTCTTGTTTTCCTGTCTGTCTGTCTGCCTCTGTCATGTCCCCCTCCAAGACTGCCTTTCACTCTTTGACTCTCCCTCTCCCCGCTCTCCCAATAAATCTCTTGCACACACACACACACACACACACACACACACACACACACACACCAAAAAAAAGACCCTGTGGACCCTGTGCCATTTCAATCTATTCCTTTCCGTGTCAAGGAATGGAAATTCCTTAGGTTTAAATCTTAAGACCTCACTCAGGATTCTACAAATCCACCTTCAAAAGCTGTTGGTTTTACTCTCAAACACGTCACTTTCCCGCCACCAACACTACTGCAGTAATGTTATCTGTAGGAGAGCATTGCCTACACCGAGAACATACAGTTTCCTGGCACCCTGCTGCCCTCCTGCAATCACCCATACATTTCCAATCTGCTCCAGAACCCAATGTATGTAGGAAGCATGCATTTTATACACATGGGTACAGACACACGTGTAGAGAGAGAATAAAAACACTCCTAGTGTCCTGCCTCCACCTTCCTACTGCTTAGATTCACATGCAAGATCATGCCTGGTTTCCACAGTGCTAGGGATTGACCCAGAACCTTGTGCATGGGAGGCAAGCACTCTACCAACAGAGCTACATTCCCAAACCACATTGTATTTTTATATAAAACTGACATAGCAATGCATGCCTAAACCTAGCACTCAGGACGTAAATAAGAGGATGATTGTTTAAGGTCACCCTGGACTACAGCAAAACCTGTCTCAAAAATCAGAAATAAGCCGGACACTAAAATAATGGGGATATTAGTCAACAACAGGCAAAATGAAAGTGAAAGACAAGAGACAGGAACCTACTAGTTCCCCTGTCTAAACAGCCCTGGGAGCATATTACATGCTGCCCAGTGTTTATAGATTCCCAACACTTCTTGGTAAAAAGAAGAGACAATCTCTAACCATTATAGTTTGGCATGGTGGCAAGCTGATAACATTGCTGCTAAACAATTGCTGACACTGTCCTTTATAGTAGCCTGTCGAAATCAACTTAGTGACAGGCATGGAGGCATATAACTATTATCCTTGTACTTAGGAGGTTAATCTCTGTAAGTCCAACAGGGGCTACAAAATGAGACCCTATCTTTAAAACAAACAACAACAATAACAACAAACCCCTCCAAACACAAACAAAAAACAACAAAAGAAAGAAGTCAGCTCAGTGAAAGTAACAACCAATCACCACCAGCCGGAAAAAGGAAGTAAGGCAGCCAGGACACCCTCCTTTACTTCTTGTCTATTAATAAACAAACCTTCCTCCCCACTTCAAGGCTAAGGACACACTGGAGGGGGAGGAGCAGTAAGAATTAGAGCCAGAGGATGAAGACGAGGCTTTGAGCCCCTGCCTCTTAGCCAAGGCGTGGCCACTGCACTCAGGAGCTGTTCTAACCTACACAGGAGCTGTACAGCATCCAACCAATCAGCTCTAACCTACACAGGAGCTGTACAGCATTCAACCAATCAGCTCTAACCTACACAGGAGCTGTACAGCATTCAGCCAATCAGCTCTAACCTACACATAAGAGCTACTGGCTATTAATGGCTGCGTTTGCTTCAAGAGCACAGCCACTTGTAAACTGTTCATGATCCAGGAAATAATCCCACAATTGTGCTCGTGCATGTAACCCTAACTAAATTCAGTGACCAGTAAAAAAAAAATCGTGACAGTAGGAATGAGAAGTGTCAGAGAGAATTGCATAAATGAATAGGAAAGAAAGGAAAAGGTGAATATGATCAAAATACACATATATCAAAGTGTCAAAAATAAATGCTAAAAATTTAAAAAAAAAAGGTAAAGAAACAACGTAAGTTAGAATAGCTAAAACTCAAGAACCTGAAAAAATGTTCAGTGTGGTCAAGAGTATATGTATGTACCCAAACAGCAGTGAGGAAACTAGAGTTCTATTGAACAAGTCAACAGTGTTAACAAGACCAGGACAAATCAGCTGTGTGCTCATAGCTGCTGCATTTCTTCCTCAACACCAAAAACTTGAGTCAATCACAGCAAAGTAGGCCAGTTTTCTGGATCCTATAGGGTTTTCACTGTGCTAGTCTGGGAATGACCATACCTAGCTTTACAGTGAGCCTTCATGTGTTCCTTCAGCTCAGGCGTCGTCTCAAACTCCATCTTACAGGCCTTGCAGGTGTGGACTCGGTTGTTTGCCAGCTCCTGTCGGTGCTCCTCCATGTGTATGGCCAGTTGGCTGTGCAGCGTGAACTCATCCCCACACTCAGAGCAAATGAGGTTCTGGAAAAGGAACATTTCCAAGCCACTGCTCCTTAAAAGAACTGGTGCCACTTTGAACATCAGCCCACAAATGACACCTTCCTCTGGAACATATGTCACATTAGCCTCTCAAAAATGCATTATTGTGTCCAAACTGAAATGCATAAAAATCATTTCTACAAGTAAAGGATAAAATGAAAACCACAATTTGCAGACAAACTGGATTCTACACCAAAAGGCTACTGGACATTTGCCAAATGGTCCATGTGTTCCATGAAAACTTCAGAGAAATAGAAAGACTTTAACACATAAAGGTCAGGAAAGAATTCTAGGTGAGATTATAATCTATAGAACACCACCAAACACATAGGTAGGTGATTATTTGTCAATGGAAATGCCCCATTGCCCACTGAGTTATGACTACAGGCTGAATAGCTCACACGGGCAACTAGACTGCTGTAAGTAGGGGACACACAGGACTTAACCCTACTTACCCTGTGCCCAAACCAATATCATCAAAGTTCTCCAGTCTTCTTTAGGACTTGAATAGTTTATATCTAAGTATATAATATATATATATATATATAATATGTAATATATATTTTAATGAATTTATTTCATCTGCTTAATAAGGGTTTTTGCTTTAGTTTGGGATTTGGTTTTTGTTAGACAGGGTTTCATTCTGTAGTTCTGGCTGGTCTGGAACTCACTGAGCAGGCCAGGCTAGCTTCAAACTCTGCCAAACACATTCATGGATTGGAATGGCTAATTTCTTTCCTTTTGTCAGTGGCTCTCTCACTTTTACACAGAATGATCAGATGAATACATCTGGGAAGCAATCTACACAGGCATTACACACACATTTCTCAGAAATGTCTATGTGAAAATGTCTGTTTATATACAATTTGCTCAGATGAAGAAAGGAAGATGGAGCACATCTCCAGAACCAAAGACAACACATGCCTTCACTGTCTCTCTGCTACTGACCTGACAATTCAAAAGAAGCTAGGACCTTCCTCCCACCTCTCAGTACCACAGAGATAACTGAGGAAGTCTCTGCATCCTCCACACCATCAGAAGTATCACGTTTCCTCCTAGACTATGCTGGGGAATTATAGTGCTCTTGAGGAGCCAGCGGAAGTCATGGGGGAAATTTCACACAGCACTTTACTTGGCTGATGATATACCACCTCTGAAGAGCCAGGGTACACAAGATTAAGACTGCTCTGAAGCTTCAGAGTTCCCGAAATGAACACTGGCTCCTCTCTCATCTGCCTCTCCAACCTCCATATGCTGCACTGTCCAGCCAAGCCTCAACATTCCAGGACCGAGCTCTCCTAGTCTCTGTAAGGACTCCAAAATGATGTTCAGTGCATCAAGTTCTCCAAGTTCACCCATAGAACATTGTTCCTCCCTTACATAAACAGAACACACCCTACATCACAGCAATCAACAAATGTGCACAGCCTCCTTGGGAACTGCTAGGTCTGCCAAGTAGTGGGGGAATGCACCTGCTATTCTCCAAACATCCTATAGCACCCTCCAAGGGAGATGAGGAAATTCAATAAAGAACATTAACTTTAATAACTATGTCAAGTTTAAGGAAATGTGCTTAATATTTGGAAACTACAGTTATTTTTCTTCCCTAGCTTGAATAATTTGATAGAGTACTGACCTTAAGGGCTCTGGGACTATTAATTTCAGCAGAGCAGTGAGGAAAACAGTCTACAAATTCTAAAAATGCCACCTCTATCACAGGTAACCCTAAACTAAAAGTCACTTATGCTTCCTAAATACATATATCAAAATGTGTTTTTATGATATTTTCAAATCAATTTATACACAATAAGCACACATTAAAAGAATAATTTTTAAAAAATTATTGATTTTTATTTTATCTATGTAAGTGCTTTGTCTGCATGTAAATGTTCCACATGCATGCACCACTCAAAGAGGCCAAAAGAGGAATTCAAATTTTCTGGAACTGAAGTTACCAACAGTTGTGAGCTACCATGTGGGTGCTAGGAACCAAACCCAGATCCTCCCTCAGAGCAGCCCATGCTCCCAATCACTGAGCCATCTCCCTAGCCCCAGGAGTAACATTTCACTGCTGTACTCCTTTGTCACTTGGAGTACCATTCCCAAGGCCTTGGTGACCCCATGACAACAGAGCAAAGACCCCAGCCAATGGAACCAGTTGTGAACCACTGCAACCTCCACCTGGAACCCACCTGAAAAAGAACTTGAATGAAGTTTGTAGAAGAATAAATATAATAAAAGCAAGTTTTTGAAAATATTGTGTGAAAATCCGAAACCTTTTGGAAATGATGAAAGACTATACATCCCTCTTTCAGAGAAAAACAAAATAAAATTTAAATTGTACAAAGAATACCAGAAGAACAAAAAAAATCTGTTTTGTGTCTTACACAGAAGCTGGGGTTAGATGAAATATAACTAACTAGTCTAGGTAGGTAGATTGGCTAAAGTGCTTGCCTACTGAACTGTATGATGCCCTGGCTTTGATCTCATCAAATGCATAAACTGGATGTGGTGCAGCATCCCTGACTCTCAGCACTCCTCTAGAAGAACAGGTAGGAAGAAAAGAAGTTCTAGGTCACTCTAGTCTACACAGGGATTTCCAGGTCAGTCTAGGATACATTAGCCCCCATTTCAAAACAAGAAAAATAGAGAAGCATGCCCATGGGAAAGCATGTTCGTTCTATACTGTGACCCTGGAAAGGGGCCTTGCCAGAACACAGAGTACCAGCAGAACTTTAAGAACCTTCACTCAATGATCTGACCCTCCAAAGCGCAGCCCAGACCACAGTTTATCCCTTGTTTTTAGCATGTGCTTCACCGTCCCTGACTCTGAGCAGCACAAACGAACACACCCAGCCATGAGCCTCACAGTCCCTGACTCTGAGCAGCACTGGACAATCTGTGGACTTGCCCCCACCTGTACTCTGGTCCCATTTCCAAAACAGGTTCCCACATTGCCTAGGGCATTTAACAGGGTTAAATCCACTTAAACATCTAAGAAGAGGTCATTATTAATGTCAAGACCTAGTGGAAGAGGCCCGTAATCCCAACTACTTAGGAGGCTGAAGAAGATTGTACTGTACGTTCACAGAATGTGTAGACTACAGAGTGAATTCAAAACCAGTCTGGAAAACTCAGGAAAATCTTGTTTCAAAAATTAAAAAATAAATAAATAAATAAAACAAAATGTACGTATGGGTTGGAATACAGATCAGTGATAGAGCATTTCCTTGGCAGGTTCAACATTCACTACTGAGAAAAGCAGAATGCCGATATGAAAGGTACGTCTTTGCTGTAAGCATTCTGATGGTCTCTGTCCTTCAAAGGAGTTGGCTGGACAACTGGGAGGAACAGGCTGCCTAGTGCAGGGCAGCCCCTCTGCCCACTGAACATCATATGAACCACTGTCTGGGCACTTCGCAGCTGCTCTAAAGAAACTGTGCTCCAACTTCAGGAAGCTCTTCATCTCAGCAAGGCCACAGCTCCTACTCCAGACTTGCCCCACTCACAATCATTCCAGACAAACTGCATCAGTTTGGGAAGACCACTCCAGGAGAGACGAGCCTAGAAGATTCTACAGGATCCCGCTCATTTCTCAAGCATGTCAGAGTGAGGAACACGCCCCAGTAACATAGCAGAATGTGATTGGTTTAATTCATGGCCTATGATTGGGCTTCATGTGAGACTTTGTGATTGGTGGACCTGAAAGCTGTGCTGTGATTGGTGCAAATAACAATCATACATTTGCATGCCACAACCACCTCCTGGCTATATAATCTGGCTTTTCAGATTACTTTTCAGGTCACCCAGAAGATACTCTCCTATGCTGCCCCTCTGCACTGGAACATTAGGCCAGATATTCTCCTGAATGGTCTTTCTTGCTTACTTGTGATCTTTACCATGGATAGAGTGGGCAGAGCTAGTAACACAGGCAGCTGAACTGGTAACAGGCTCTAGGAAGGACTGAGGCATCAGAAGTAAAGACGCTGTGGCACTTTTAAATAAAGAAGCTTCTAGAGTTGGCCCCTATAAATCAGGCTGATGATTAACAACAAACACACATTAAACCATTACCTCTTCCTTCTCATGGAGCATAATATGTGCTTTGAGACTGGCCACTCTGGAGAACCTCTTGTTGCACACAGGACAGACAGGATCTTCTGCATTGTGTGTACACTTATGAAGTGTCAAGTTGAATTCAACATTAAATGTTTGGGGGCACTGGTCACAACGGTGTGGCTATTTGACAAAAAAGAAGGAATTGAGTTACGACCTTTCCAAAGATGTTATTAAAATAATAAGTACTGGGTGTGGAGGCACACACCTTTAATCCCAGCACTCAGGAGTCAGAGGCAGATAGATCTCTGTAAATTTGAGGCCAGCCTGGTCTATAGATTGAGTTATAGAACAGTCAGGGCTCCCAAGGCTTCTGGTAGAATTTTCAAAGGACTGCAAACAGAACATCACATGTAAAACTACTGACTTTCATCAGAAACATAGACTGAAAAAAAAGAAAAAGAAAAACTACTGACTTTCTTTTCTTGATTATATTATCTGGCCTCAAACTCCCAATCCTCCTGCCTCCACCTCCCTAGTGTTAAGATAAGCATGTGCCTAATTACCTAACTCCAAAACTATTTCTACTGTGTGACACTGAGATGAATCCACTGGGTTGTAGCCCTGTGAGACATGAGGAAATTCAGCCCAGTAGATGGGTTTTCCTCCTGCTTCTAAGAACTCACTCATTGTAACAAAACTACTTCTAGAAAAACAAATAACCAAGAACATTTTCCTCTAGATTTCAACAGTTGCTTCTCTCAGTCCAAAGTTCCCTCTGCATGGAAACATTCTCTCTCTTACCTGTAAAACGAAAGGCAAAGCAATGGCTGGTATCTCTCTGCAGCCTTTCAGACTGGGAAAGCACAGCCATGTCTTCCACCAGCACCATGAGACGGCACGTCACAGTGAAATCTGAGCCTCACTCCCCCTCTCCAGGAGACCAGCTCCCACTCTCTAAGCAAAGGAAAGTCAGCCAGCCCTTTCAACTGCACTTTCAAGCTGCTTCCCATCTATTTTCACTATGTCATATCTGGAAGGATTAGCAAAAAAAGGGTTCAACTCTCTCTTTAAAAGGACACACAGGGAATGAAGGGAAAGAAGGAGCAGCTCAATAGCAGAACATATGCTGAACACCACAAGGTCCTGCGTATAATCCTCACCTCCAGTCATCTCCAAAAGACAGTACTGACTCCTGTTAAACAAATGTAAAGCCTCAAGAATGCCATAAAGACAACTTGAAAGCAAAATACCCTTTAAGGAAAAAAGCATGTCAAAATAACCACCCTGAATCCAGTTGTATAGGAAACCAAAATATCAAAAAGTCTTATTTCTCTGTCTGCTCACAAATAATTTCAATACAGACATTCACTAGAGCACAGTGTCAAAAGAACGGCAAAATGTTTACATACTATGAAATGAGCTATAATTTTGTCTTACATGACTCTATCGCACCTCCAATTTCAGAGCCCTCGTTCTGGAGTCCTCTTGGAAATACCCACCTTGTCATTTTGCTCATGTTCCCTCATGTGACGCTGAAACTGAGACTCTTTTGGAAAAGACAGCAAACAGATCTCACATTTGTGGAAGCTTGGTATCTGACAGTCATCGTCAAGATCATCATCATTTAACGCCAAAACTCCATCTATAAAATTTCATAAGTGCAGACAGTGAGCACCCGGTGTTAGTCCACTACAGAAACAAAACTAGATCATTTGGCTACTTTAATTTTCATATTGCTATTTTACATTTATAGATGTTTTGCCTGCATGCATGTCTTACACACCCCTGGCATGCTGTGCCCTCAGAGGCCAGAAGAGGCCATTAGGTCCCCTAGAACTTGAGTTATAAATGGTTGTAAAGTGACATGTGGGTGCTGGAAATTGAACCCAGGTCCTCTGGAAGAACAGTGAGTGCTCTCTGGCCCCTCATTTGGCTATTATTAAAAACAGAAATTTATAAGAGACTTGAATTTGAAAAATGGACACATTAGAGTTTAGAAATGAGAAATCCTGGGATGCCTGAGATTATGGGACAAAAAAATTCAAAATACTTCGCAGGATTTCTAGAAACCTGAAACTAATTTCCTAAGGCAACACACACACACATACACACACACGAAGGTTCCTTGAACTTTGCCAGCATGTGACATCTAACTCACAATAAATGCAGGCAAAACACCAATGCAAATAAAAATAAATGATTTTTTTAAAAAAAGAATATATCAGCTTCCTATACCACTCAGTAGGCTCAACTCTATAAAAATATAAAAGTCTCCAACTGTGAACTCTTTATCTCTGAAAATTGCTGCAAAGAAAGAGTAAGTCAAAAAGAAAAACTCTTGTTCTCTCAAATAGTGAGAAACTGCAATCCTTTGTTTGGTCAACTATAGTGGCACAAAAGGACTTCCCACACAGGGATAATACTTCAAACTTAAAAGTATTTTTAGAAGTATCAAAAAATATAACAATATAGTACAGGTCACATAAATTTGCCAAAAATGTCGAATAAAGACTTTCTAAATAATTACAATTTTTAAAGTATATACATCTCAAGTTTTGAGATTAGGACATAAAATAAATAATACTTCAGAACTATACAAGAATGACAAATAAATTACAGGCCATTTTATATCAAATCTGGGAACCGGGAAAGGAGTTCAGTTGGGAGAGTTACCATGCATGGGGCCCTGGGTTCAATCCCAAGAACCACAGAGGTGCACATTGGTAAACCCAGCTCTTAGGAGATGGATTCAGAGTGGACAGAATTTCAAGGTCATGCAGACAAGATGTGCCCACTGATGCAATAGTGGCCTGGAGGCTAAAGGGGTAACCAAGTACTTTCTGGCTGGATTTGAAGACTGCTCCATAGAAGGCAATTTAGGCCTGGTCTGAAACCTGGCTCCAGAGATCCCAGGCCCAAGTGGGAAAGATAGGTCTCAAGTTGTCAAGTGGACAACTAAATATGTCCACTGCTTTCTAAATATTTATATTCATATATGTAGACTAGTAAATACTGTATGTAGGAAATCAGTTTTTATATATCAAAGAAAACTACCAATAAAATTCTCATGTTCTTACTACTAGTTACAGAATGGAGAGAACATCTGCCAGTCCACTAAGAAATCATAGAACTCAACTCTCAAAAGTGGCCCACATCTAATCCCAACACTTGGGAGGTGACCACAAGAGGATTACCATGAATTTGAGCCCATGTGAACTATGCATAAGATGTCAGCCTGGCCTAGTGTGAGACTCTTTCTCAAAACTTAAAATAATCAGGAGGCTGGAGAGGGTTCGGTAGTTAAGAGCACTTATTGCTCTTGTACCTCCAAGTACCAGGCATGCATGTTGTACATGTACATACATGCAGGCAAAACACTCACAAGCATCAAATAAAATAAACCTAATTTCTTTTAAATCAGTTTGCTGCCTTAACATAAAAAATTTTTATTAAAAATATTTTAACAAAATTACTTACGAATCTTTTTTTCATTATTTTTTAGACAGAGTCTAACTATGTATCCCTGACTGGCCTGGAACTTGGAAACCCACCTACCTGCACTGCCCAATTGCTGGGATTAAAGGCATGTACCCCACGCCTCCTTTACAAAGCTTTTAATGTATGACTTAATAAAGTAAAGCTGGGCCAGATGGTGGTGGTGCACCCCTTCAATCCCAGCACTCGGGAGGCAGAGGCAGGCGAATCTCTGTAAGTTCGAGGTCAGCCTGGTCTACAGAGTGAGCTCCAGGACAGCCAGGACCGTTTCACAGAGAAACCCTGTCTCAAAAAAAAAAAAAAAAAAAAGGAAAGCTGGATGTAGAGTTTGGCTGGATATGTGACCCAACAGTGTCACAGTCTGGTACACCCCAGAACACTATAAGCTAAACTGACTTCGGTTATACCCACAACTGCTTTCATGTAACTAAAGTACATAAATGTTAGCCAAGTGAAGTCAAATACCCTTAATAACACTATAAAAACATTCATTTTACATCCTTCTGAAAGCACCTCTAGGAGCCCTCAAGGCCCCAAGCAGCACAGCTTGAGAACCACCGTGGTGAGCCTGACTGCTGTAAGGCTGCCTTCAAACAAGTCTAAGGAAGCTCTCTCTGAACGAGCCACAACACTTGGGCTGCGCAGTAAAAGATGGTCTCTCAAAAAAGGGAATCAAAAAGGCCAAAAGCAAAGAACAAATGCCAAAAAAAAAAAAAAAAAAAGTCAAAATTGGCACCATCAAGGCTAGTAGCAATGATTGGTGGCAGAGAGAGCTGAGATGGAGGCCAAAGGATTTTGGGGGGTTTGAGGTTTAATCAGAACCCTGAGTTGACCTCCTGTGAAGTTTAACGAGGGTGTGGCCCGAGACTACATTTGAGAAGATCGTCCACCATGAAAAGTGAGAGACAGAGAGAGATGAACAACAGAGTCCAGTTTGAAAGCCCCACCTTTGGGGCTGTGGGGTCCTTGGAAAGGTGCGGAGGGTTGCAAACCCAGTTCTCAGGAAGCAGGTACAAACTTAGCTATGGAGCTGGAGAGATGGTGCAGTATGTTAAAAAAAGAAGAAGAAGAAGAAGAAGCACTTGCCAACAAACACACAATAAAAAAGAACGCAACTAAAAACTTTTAAAGAGACTTAGTTATGAAATGTCTTGAGAAACAAGAGAAACAGAATTAAGTCTTCGATTTGGTCCTTTGTGGGCAGTGCTACCATCTGGTGAAATGTAGTGCCCGGAGAGGAAGGAACTCTCAGCCTTGACTCAACGGGAATTTCACATTCTTTCTCTCTAACCCTCTTCACACTGCACCTTACATTAATATTAGCATAAAACAAGTTATCCAAAACAAACACCATAAACACAGGAGCACGCGCGCGTGCGCGCACACACACACACAATCACACAATCACACACACACACACACACACACACACACACACACACACTCTCGTATGAAAATACGGCCAAGGCCGAAGCGGTGAGCTATCAGTCATCGATGAACAGTCTGGGCAGTTAATCTCATCCAGATACCTGCTAATATTACTATACAGCCACCATTGCTCCAAGCAGTCCATGAAAACAACCGTGTATGAAATCTGTGAAATCGCTGGCTGTAGTCCATAAACAGTGTTCAGATTGACCTATCGACACGCCTGTTGACTCTGTAGTAACTTCTAGTTTGGGTGTCCTGTGCCCAAGCTCGCACTGATGCCAGCTCCTCACCCATCTTAGCATAGCCCTTTGTAGGTCCAGACCCGATGTGAACGTGGGCGTCCGCACCTGGGCTCCCTGATGACAGCTCTTGAACCTCGGGGCACTCATCCCCAAGGACAGTCAAACCCTGAGTCACTAAGCAGCAACCGGCTAAGTAAACATAATAGAAGTTGGGGCGATTCACCTTCCATTGCGTCCCAGACAGGCACCGCCTTCCCAGCGCCTAAGCAGGGTCCTTTCCCAGCAAGCTTGACTGCACAAACCGCCCAGGGCTGCTTCGGGACCACAAACGTAGGGACTCCGGGGCAAGTAGTTCCCAAGACTGAGACTAAACCCTGGCTCTCACAGCTGAGCTCTGCACCTCTCAACCCGATGACCCCCATCCCATCTCAAAAGAACGCGGTGGCAATGGATGCCTGTTTCCTCCTCCTCGCGCTGGAGGAGGGGCCCCCACTAAGCGCCAGGCTGAGGAGAGGCGACGGTGTGGGTGACATTTTCCCCATCACTTCGCCCGCTGTAAAACTGTGCACTTCTTCCCTTAGAAGAAATAGGCCCCAGTTATCGCAAACGAATTCAGCCAGCGAGGCAGAAACGGCCGAGGGGAATGCTGCCCCCGAGGCCTACTGTGCGCAGGAGAGCCTACTGTGTGCACCGCCCCCCCCCCCGCGGGACCCCCCTCCAGGTCCTCGTTGCCCGACGGCCTGGGGTTCCTTAGAAACGCGGAACCCGGACACACCGGAAGAGCGGGCACTCCCTCGGGCCTGCGCCGGGGACGGCCGAGGCCGACAGGGGACGGGCGGAAGGGACAGGGAGACATGGAGGGAGGGGACTGAGGAGACCACGACGCTGAGCTGAGCGGAGGGAGCCCGCGGCATGGAGGGCGGGGGACTGCCTGGAGGATCGGGACTCGGGAGGGCGGTGAGGAGATTCGCAGGACAGGGGCTCGGGAGGGAGCCGACAGGAACTCGGGAGAAGGAGGAGGAGGAAGCCGCCGCCCGCGCCGCCGCCCCCGCTCCGCCACGGCCCGGAAAGTAGGCCCAGCGCGGAGGGGCCCGGCCGCGGCGCCCGTATCCGTCCGCCCGCGCTGCGCCCGCCCGGCCAGTCGCCGCCGCCCGCCCTCCGCGCCGCTCCCGGCGCACCCCGCGCCCATCCGGGGACTCGGTGGCCGCCGCGGGCCTTACCGGAGTCGCCGCGCGCCGCACCGTCCCGGGACTTCGGGGGGCGGCCCCGCGGCATCGTCGCGGCGGCCCACCCCTCAATCGCGCTCTCCCTCGGCGGGCGGGCGGGCGCGCACGCGCGGCACCGGGCGGGCGAGCGAGCGAGCGGGCGGGCTGCGGGTCGCGGCCGGACCCAGCCCGCCGGGCTCACAGGGCTACGGCGCCCGGACGCTCGGGCAGCAGAGCTCGGACCGCGCCGGCCTCGGCGGGTTCCATGGCCCGCGGGCCGCGGCGGGGGCGTTAGGAGCGGGCAGTGGGGGCGGGGGCGCCGTTGTGCGCATGCGCGGCCTGCCAGGCGGCGGCGTCACCTGGCTCGGCGATCCGCCGGGCTCGGAGGCCTGCAGGCTGGCAGCCCGAGTGTGCAGTCGGCCCCGGAGCCCTTTCGGTGCCCCCGACTGTGCCCGGACAGCCGACCGGCTCACCCCTGCATTCCTCCCATCCCGGGAAATGAAAACGGTCCCAGTGTGGTTTGGATGTCACGCGCTTGCCTACGTTCACTTGTGTTCACTTACGTTGACGGTCACCTCTGATCCGAGCAAGCAAAGTGCCCCAGCACATCTTTCTACTCGGGACTCCTTTGTAAGCATGCCTGCCCAGACCTCCGGAGTGTCGGAAGGCCAGGGAAGGAAGCCTACCCACAGAGATGCCAGTGGACTACCGGTAACGGGCCGATCTCAGAGATGCACCACTCACAGGCTCCATTCGGGTGTGTCTTTTTGGCGGCTTTGTTGTCCCCTTTAACTCCGATCAGTGACCTATTCACAGCGGCACAGGTTAAGAATCTCGCAGAGTGTGGTGACTCACCTTTAATCCCAACAGTTGGAAGGCTAAGACAGCAAGATGGAAAAGTGTAAAGTTGAAGCCTACCCGGGCTATCTGGTAAGTTCCAGGCTTAAGTGAGACCTTCTGTCAAAATATAAATAAATAAATAATAAAGAAAGAATGATCAGAGAAAGGAATGACCATTTTGTGTTATATGATCTCAGAATTGATCTTCAGGCAAGCTTTATTCGTTAAAACACAAAACAAAATATCAATACATGCCATGTTTACTGAGACATACCAAAAGTCTACAAGCTGAGTGATTGGCGCCTAGGTGATGGAACAATAAAGACACAAGATCTGGCGATGGTGGTGAACACCTTTAATCCCATCAGTCGGAAGGTAGAGGCAGGCGGATCTCTGTGAGTTCGAGGTCAGCCTGATCTACACAGCTAGTTCCAGGACAGAATCCAAAGCTATAGAGAAATCCTATCTCAAAAAACAAAACAAAAAAGATACAAAACTAGAATAAATGTTTAAAAAGTCAAACGATTTGTAAGATCTGAAGAAAGCTAGATAACTAATCAAATGTTAAAATAGGAGTTCAAAAATCTTAGACTAAGGAGACGGCTTCCGGGGGGGACAGAATTCCTCAGGAAAGCCTAGCAACCAAGTTCCCAAACCCCAGGTGAAACTGACTTTCAGAGCTGCCCTCTCACCGCACCCACGCCCCACACAACAATATATTCTTTTAAAACAATGTACCAGAGTAATTTTTGAAAACAAGATTGGTTACGACTAGTAAAGTTGGAAAGAGTCTTTTGAAGTGCACGCCTTTAATCCCAGCACTCTGGAGGCAGAGGCAGGCAGATCTCTGTGAGTTTGAGACTAGCCTGATCTACACAGCTAGTTCCAGAATAGCCAGAGTTACACAGAAAAACCCTGTCGCAAAATAAATAAATAGATAGATAGATAAAACACCTAACAAGTTTTTAAGTAAATCAGTAGTCCTTCACAGAAAATGCCTCTAGTCTTTCCAGTTCTTACAGGGGACCAAATTCAGTTCCCAGCACACATTCTTACTTGGGTTACAACCACCTATAACTTCAGCTCCAAGGAATCTAACAGCCTCTATTGGCTTCTGAAGGCAGTGCACTCATGTACAAATCCACATAGACATAAATATAAGTTAATTTTTTATTTTAAGATTTTTTTTGGCATTTATGAATTGTACATATATATGAATGTATATCCTGTTTGATTGTAAGAAAGCTTTGAAACAATTTTGTAAGAAATTTATGTAAGGTGAAGAAATAAATGAATTATGATAAAGGGGGGAAGGAAGGAGTCAGAGACAGTAAGTATGATACTAACCCAATAAGTCATACAGTAATACAAGTGAATTAAAAGTTGGGCTCCAGGCTCCTTAGTCCAAGCAGAAAAGATGCGCTCACAGTCACAATCACACCAACCTGTGGTTTGGATGATACGTCGTCTCTCTAATGGAGCTGAACTGGGCTTTTCCAGTTACTCCTCTGTGTAGTTACTACAGTTCACATAGTAAAGTTGCCGTGCTGGGTGCGTTATCAGGCAGCAGGATCCCTACCATTGTTCTCTACAGCTGATTCTTCATTGCATCTCTCCTAGAAAACGGTTACCTCGTGTCAGGAAAACTTAGGGGAAGCAAGGGTCTCAACAACACATAGTGGACGACTTTCTCATGGTCTTACCATGACATGTAGAACCCACAGTGACTTAACAGTCACTTAAAGATGGGATGGTCCTTCAGGATTCCTGCTTCATGGAAGAGTCTTCCAGACATTCTGTGAGGCCAGATATCTCTGCCGTTTCTAGATTTTTGGAAGTTGCTTACAGTGCATTTCCTGTTTACTTAGGTTATATTATATACCTCTAGGGTCTTTGATGGAGTTGAAGTCTAGATAGTTATAATTATAGTTTTCCTCAGTTATGATAAAAGGTAAATTATATATGAAACATTTAGATTGTCAAAGATAGGTGATAAAGTATTTTCTTTAACTTTGCCAAATATAAATAGGCTAAATATTGTAATTATAATTCTTGCTTATTACCTGCTTTGTTATATGTAATTTTTTTTTTCGAGACAGGGTTTCTCTGTAGCTTTGGTTCCTGTCCCGGAACTAGCTCTTGTAGACCAGGCTGGCCTTGAACTCCCAGAGATCCGCCTGCCTCTGCCTCCCTAGTGCTGGGATTAAAGGCATGCGCCACCACCACCTGGCTGTTATATGTAATTTACAATGTTAAAGTTAAAACTTTCCCTTTTAATTAGACAGAAAAGGGGAGATGATGTAGGATATCTTTCTGTATGCTGTGAATATGTGTCTCATTGGTTGGTGAATAAAGCTGTTTGAGAAAGGTGGGAAATCCAAGCAAAGATACAGATAGTAAAAAATCGGAGTTAGGAAGATGCCATGTAGCTGCTGAATGAGTAACATCCTGGAGCATCACAGTAAACCATAACCTCTGGACAATGTACAGATTAATAGAAATGGATTAATTTAATTGTGAGAGCTAGTCAGTAATATTCCTGAGTCATTGCCCAAACAGTTATAACTGATATTGAGGCTCTGAGTGGTTATTTTATAAGTGGCTACGGGGACCCACGAGCAGGAAAGAAAAACATTCAACTACACCCCTCCCCTGAAATATTTTGTCTTTGCTCTTTATTAATTGTAATGGATACAGTGTTCTGTTTGCTTATATGTCTGCAGACCAGAAGAGGGCACCAGATCTCATTATAGGTGGTTGTGAGCCACCACGTGGTTGCTGGAAATTGAGCTCAAGAGGTCTGAAAGAGCAGTCAGTGCCCTTCACCTCTGAGCCATCACTCCAGGGTTTCAACAACCAATGCTGTTCCACTCTTCTGGCTGGGTATCCAACAGGCTCAGTAGGAGCAGCTGCCCCCTGCTTGTACCTGCCTCTGGAAAGACATGGATGACCACCTCCAAATGCCCTAGTTCCCTGAATGTCTCTCCTCCTCTCTGACTGCTGTGTGTGGTGTCTCGCAGACACATGATGGGGTCCCTGTGTGTGTATCTCTCTGCTTACATTCCCAGAAATTCTTTAGTCTCAGGAATTGATTTTAGAAATTGTTTTAATAATATGATTTCAGCCTCTTTTTAGGAATTATCCATTTTTGACAGCCTTTCTAAAATTATTTCATACCTTGTCTCTTTCACATTCCCTGTCTCTCCACTCTAGCTAAGTTCTTAATTTTTCTGCAACTAATTTTATCCTTGTAGCCAACTAGCCTACCCACTCAAACTGGTGGCTCAATTATCTTTTGTATTTTGATTATTTTTAAAACGTGCTTCTTCTGCTCCTGATTTGGACCTTGAGATTTCTGTCCGGTGCTCCAATGTGGGTCTCTGTCTCTGTCTCCTTTCATCGCCTGATGAAGGTTAATATTCAGGAGGATGCCTATATGTTTTTCTTTGGGTTCACCTTCTTATTTAGCTTCTCTAGGATCACTAATTATCGGCTCAATGTCCTTTATTTATGGTTAGAAACCAAATATGAGTGAGTATATCCCATGTTCCTTTTTTTGGGTCTGGCTTACCTCACTCAGGATAGTGTTTTCTATTTCCATCCATTTGTTTGCAAATTTCAAGAAGTCCTTGTTTTTTACTGCTGAGTAGTACTCTAATGTGTATATATTCCATACTTTCTTCATCCATTCTTCCATTGAAGGGCATCTAGGTTGTTTCCATGTTCTGGCTATTACAAACAATGCTGAGTGACTGGGCTCTCACCAGGCAGCCCAAGCTTTAAATCTACAGTAATCTTTTTGTCTCGGCCTCCCAAGTGCTGCAATAAGAGGAATAATTTCAATTTTTCCAACTTGTAATTATAAAGTTACCAAGCATACAAAAAGTTTGGAAATCAAAATAAATACCCTGATCCAACTGTTCTTGATATTTTTTCCTTATCATTTTTTCTACAGATTTTGTTGAACTGTTTGAAATAAATTGCATGCAGCATCTTAGCCATAAATAATTCCGTAGAAATTTTCTTCAGCAGTCACAGAGCCATGGTTAATTTTTTATATATTTGAAAGCAGTTAACTCCTAACATTATCTAGCCCACATTCATATTTTTCCATTTGTCCTGATAATGTCTTATTTTCTTACTTTTTAATTAGGATTGAGTGAGAGTTTGTCTAATTTAAATTTTGTTTGCTTGTTTGTTTTTTGGAAAAGGGTTTCACTATGTAGACCAACCTGAACTTAGAGATCTACCTGCCTCTGGCCTCCTGAGTACTGAAATTAAAGGCATGTACCACAACACCTAACCTCATGCTTAAAATTTTAGAATATCCTGTGAACCACCCAGTGGTTGCTGGAAATTGAAGCCAAGTCCTCCAGAAGAGCTGACAATGCTCTCTAGCCCCTCTCTAGCCACCTCTCTATCCCCCAAGTTATGATTTTTTAAAAAATAGATAAAATGGCAGCCACATCCAAATTAGAATTTGCTATGATATTTCATTCCGACTCAAGTCTTCAAGCACATGGAGGGTGAGAAAGAGGCAGGAAATGAGAATAAACCTTGTCCCCTGTGAGGGGGCCTTCAGGTATCACAGGAATGGCTGCCAGTCAACGTGAGACTCCCCTGTGCACCAAGCACCTGGTGAGACTTCAAAGGCAGAATCCCATGCTTGCAGGCCGTCACTGTTAGCCAAGGCCATGTGCCATTCTGTAAAGTTCCTCCATTAGTGTGCTTTTGTAGAACCTGCTCTCCCCGCCTTCAAAGGTTATTTTACTGTTGTAGTTTAAAAAGAAAATGGCTCCCAAAGGGAGTGGTACTATCAGGAGGTGTGGCCTTATTGGAGGAATAGTCACAGTGTCACAGTGTCGGTGAGCTTTGAGTTCTGTGCGGAAGCTACTCCCAGTGTCAGAGATAAGCTGTTGCCTACAAGATGGAGGACTGTCAGCTGCTACTCCAGTACAGTCGGCCTGCTCCCCACCATGATGATAGTGGACTGAACCTCTGAAACCGTAAGCAAGCCACCCCAATAAAATGTTTTTAAGAGTTGCCGTGCTCATGATGTCTTGTCTCTTCACAACAATAGAAACCCTAACTAAGACACATACATGCAGGCCCCAGGCTAACAGGTCCCTCCCTCTCCCTACCAGCCAGGAATCAGGGGCAGCTTGACTGCAATCATACTGTGGACTACTTATTAATCACATGACTTAGAACCTCTCCCTCTGAAACGTGAGAAGGGACCCTGCATTCTTCCTAATGTTCTGAAGCCTCCTCAGGGCCCCTATCATGCTGCTGTCCACCTGCTCATGAAGTTAATAACGATTGGATCATTTATTCAAAAACATTCTATTACAGTGTTCCCCTGGAACCCCAAACCCAAACCTTTCTGTTAGGACCAGAGAGAAGCAAGCACTCTGACGACCGCCTCTAATAGGATGTTGGGACAGAATGTGTGTCAAGCTTTGTTGGGGACTGTGGGCCCCCAGACCCTGAATTTCTTGAAACAAACAAACAAACTTGTTTTCCTCTACTCTGAGCAGCCTTCAGCTGCTCTGAGCAGGAGACCCTGATGGCAGGGGGTTGGTTCTGATGGGTCCACAGCTGAAAGCTCCAGAGAGCTGGGGCGTGGCCAGAGCCTATATAAGCTGCACCTGAGCACAATAAAGTGGGCATTCTTGGCATTCTTGCCTCAAGGATGACCCTGTGGCCCTGTCTGTCTGTCTGTCTCTGTGTTGTATGTTTTTCAATTTTCAGCCTAGTTCCTGTAGCGAGTAGAGCACTGAACAGAACCGGTGTAGTTTTACAAAGCTTCTTGTGTGAAAACTTGCAGAAATACAGTAGTAGCTTCCTTAAGATTCAAATGACAGCAGCTGCTGAAGAGATGGATCCACAGTCAAGAGCACTGGCTGCTCTTCCAGAGCACTTGGCTTCAAGCCCCAACACCCAGGGACAGGGCAGCTCGCAACTGTCTGGAACTGAACTCCAGGTCCAGGGGCTCTGATACCCTCTTCTGGCCTCATGCATCAGGCATGTATATGGTACTCAGACATACATGCAGGCAAAACATGTAAATTTTTTTTCTTCTAATTTTAAGTAAAAACAGATTTGGTCCTGGAAACAGCTAAAGAAGGGACAGGCAAAGCATTGGAATTCTGAATAAAATCATTTTGGTTTGTCCTCTTGTGTTTTTATGTAACTGTCTGTGGTGATTTAAATGAGAATGTCCCCCATAGGTTCAGAACATTTGGCTCCCATTGGTGGCACTGTTTGAGTATGTTTAGGAGATAAGGCCTTGCTGGAAGAAGTATGTGCCAGTGCTGGAGCGCAGACCCCACACCCTGCTAACACACTGCTCTGCCCCCTAAATGCTGGAGCACAGACCCCACACCCTGCTAACACACTGCTCTGCCCCCTAAATGCTGGAGCGCGGACCCCATACCCTGCTAACACACTGCTCTGCCTCCTAAAGGCTGGAGTTCAGACCCCATACCCTGCTGGCCCGGTGCTAGGAATCGAACTAAGGACTTCCTGTGTGCTAGGCAAGCACTCCACTGACTGAGCTATATCCTCAAGCCCATCTATGTTATCTTACTAACAAAAGGATACAGTGACCTGAGATTCAATTCGGAGGCATTTTGCCACGTACCCGTTGATCCTTGTGAGTCACTCGGCTTTATCCACGAGAATGCTGAGACCTACAAGTATCAAGTAACATCCTTTGTCTAGCTCATGGAAAATGTGTGGCAGAGCCATTCTTCAGATTTCCTGGCCAGTGCTTTCTCCATGTGATATGTGATATTTTCTGCTCAATCTTAATTTTCATGTTTATCTTTACCTCCAACCTGGAGCTCTCTTTAGTTCTTGACAATTTGGCTTTTTTTTTTTTTTTTTTTCTGTACCAACCTAGCCTTTAGACAAAAGTAACGAACTCTTTCCTCTCCACCCACACTGGGGATGCATAGACAATGTGCACACATTCATCACAGGTCAGCGGTCCAGTCATGCTCCCGTTTTTATCACTAAGGACTTCTCTGTGGTGGGATGCAGTACTGGGCTATAACAGAAGCACAGGGCATGTGTGTTCCCTGACCCTGCACACTTCTCAACGACTCCTGGGCAGAGGACACAAACCTTCCTCGGAAGGGACGATTACACTTGTCCCTCTGATAGGAAGACACGGCTTTCCCAGACCCCACGACTAGCCTCCCGCCTCAGGGAAATCAAATGTAGGCTTACGCGGTGTGATTGTGACATAAATCTTAGTGTTTCCATTTCTGTAAGCCGTTCTGGGCAGTGCGCATTATGAAGCTTGGCGACAGCTATCATTTTGAAAGCAGGATGGATGCGTGTGTTCCACGAGCAAACACGTGGCATGCTGGAGCATTGCATGGACCAGCCTCTGCCGCAGGTTCCTGGCTGCTCGCCCTTGCCTGGCCATGTCAGTTTGGAAAGCTACTTTGCTTTCCGGCTGTGACGGTTTGGTGATTTTTCTCCTGAACAGACATGGACATACTTTCCTGTTTGGAGGAGGCTACTCTCCTATGTGAAATTCCTCTCTCAGCCTCTCTACCATCAAGTTCGGCTCACCTGCCCAGGTAGGACAGAAAGGATGCTCCAGACCTCCATTCCCTCAAATCTCAGGAAAAAAAAAGTCAGCAGTCGGGAGTGAAGGCTGTGAAGCTGAAAAACAACATAGTTTCATGACATAAAACAGGTGTTGAGCAGGATCATCCCAGGAGATCACTTCACTTTTCCGCGTGTCAGACTACTAAGAAACCACCATCCTGTCACTCCTCAAGGACTCCACGCGCGCGCTAATGTGAGACATCCATCACTCCCTTTCTCCCAGAAGTGGGCTGGATGAGGGGGTTGAGAGTCAGCAGGCACCCTACAGGGCCGGGCCCTGCCCGCCCACCTGGCAATCACAGACAGGAGTTACTCTTCATTATAATGAAGTTTATCATCACCAGGCATCTTTGCTGCCACACCAGCTTCCTGATAGACCCTCACAGGTGAAGTGGGGCACACTAGGGCACCTTCCCACTCTCCTCTCTAAACCCTGGGTACTCAAGCCCAGCAGTGCCTTCTGCTTAGCCTGGAGCCAGGAAGGGAGGAAGCAGGAAAGATGCCCAGTGACAGACACAGGCGTACTCACCCTCTTTTGAGACAATGTAGCCCAGGCTGGCCACAAACTTGCTAAATGGCTAAGAATGACTGAGAACATGACTTGCACATGTATTTAGTGGGGTGGGGGTTAGTGATGGGTGTGTGTATGTGGGACCCAGCCATGGACAAGCTCAATAGAGGCCTGAGCCTCAGTAGCTCACCCTAAAGCAATACCTGATTCTAAGAAAGGCCACAAACAGAGACCACCCAGGACCACCCAGAAACTGACCATCCAAAGGAAATTCCTAACATTCCAACCGTCGTAGATAGAAGCATCTGCCAGCACACACCCATCGTGTTTCACTAGGACACCCCTAGATAAATGTCAGCCAACCAGGGGTTCTGAACCCTGGGAAATCCCTCACCCCAACTCCTGCTATTATAAAAACCCCACCCCAACTGAGCTCAGGGCTCTCCAGTTGCGCCAATACGTTGGACTCACAGTCTGAATTTGAGCTTGAACAAGAATAAAGGCTCTTTGCTTTTACATACAGAACTCGGTCTCCTAGCTGGTTTTTGGGATCTGTGATCTGTGCATAGCACGCCCTAGCTGATGGGAGCCCCGTGTGTACAAAGTAAGTGTAACCTCAAGATGCTGCTGCCCAGTTCTGGGCAGATACAAAGGGCCCACAGTGGGGAGAGGAGCTGAGAGTTTCACCTTCCCGGTGACCTCCCCCGCAAGAAGGATTCTCAGAGTCAAAGCTCCAGGCTTTGACTCGCCTGGGAGAGATGTCTCTGAGAATTGACTTGTTTGTGTTCATTGATGTGGGAAGATCATCTGAAAATTGTAGGTGGAACCTGATGGTGACACTGGGGACAAACCCGCATCCATTGCTCTCTTCCGACTGTGGACCCTGTAATGTAACCAGCTGCTTCAAGTTCTCCCTGGCTTCCTTCCCCAACATGAGCGGCTGTGGCTCGAACTGTGAGCCCAAATAAACCCTCTTGCCCAGAAAGAGTTGTTTACTTATTTTCTCCCGGTTGCTCTTGTCGGAGTATTTTATGGTAACAACAGGGAAAGAGACTAGATCACCTTCATCCGCTGTGTTCGAATCTCAAAGCCCTGCGGAACATCATGCGGCCCACCTCCGGTGAGCACCCAGCTGCGTACATTCGACACTTTTTTACTGTTGTGTAAATTGCATTTCACTCACATTCAGCTGCACAAGTTCAGTTTTAGATCTAGAATGTTCTCTACGGGTTTCCATTCGGAGCACTTGGTCTCCAGCTGCCGGCACCATCTTGGGTGACTGGAACCTTTCTGAGGCAGAGCCTGGCTGGAGGAAGTAGGTCACCACTAGAGGGAGGCACGCTCTGAAGTCTGTAGCCCAGCTCGGGCTCTGGTCAGACCAGCTTTCCGGGCTGCAGCCACAGGAACATCCACTGTCGCAGGTCCCTGCCGCCACAGACAGAGCTGCTCAGTCTCCCTTCCTTCCCTGTGGTGGACTTGAAATGTTGCTCCTAAAACTAGAACGAAAGAAATCTTTCTCCTTCCTTGAGTTGTTTCTATGACCAGCTGTTTTGGTCATAGTAACACAGAAGTAAGTATTCCAATAACTATAATTTTTTTCTCTTGCAAAAAAAAAAAGGCTCTTTCTAATTATCATTTTTGCTGTTTTGTTGTTCGGGCTGTTGTAAATGACGCCACCCAGCGCCCCCCCCCCCACTGTAAAAGCACGTTGCTGTGATTTCTTACCATCTCCAATGTGCTTGTTACACACAATTTTCCTGTCTCTCTGTGACATCCACGCTTTCATCACAATTCTCACCGGCGGACCTCTTAATTAGCGATAGCCTGGGAGGTTTTCCTTTCCCACTGATGTCCCTGTTTTTAATTTTGCCCCTTTAAAATTAGGTTGACGAATAATTTTTTTTTTCAAGATAGGTAGCC